CTTGTTTGCATAATTTTTGTTTTTCAACACCGAGTTGCTTGGTCGGCCCTAGCAGCTTTGGCGTTGCGAGTTTGCATTTTTTAATTCGGTTTCTCTACCACCAAGCTACTGTCAATGTTAGCACCTCTTATCTTGAGAGTTGTCTTGCACATAGTCGTTATAGTCTTGGTATCGACTTCGATAATATTGACTCTCGTCGGGCACTGCACTCCTTCGACCTTTGCTTGTTGTTTGTAGTGTATTTATTTGGTAGAATGTTGCACTTCCAACTTTGTTTGTTGTCAATCTTTTGGTTGTTTACTCAAGCTATGAAACTTGGTCTTGCTTAGCTAGTTTTGACTTGCTTCCTTTGCTCGGTCCATTTTGGAGTGGATGTTAGGCGTCCAATCAGCCACTATTGCTTGGTCCACTTTGGAGTGAGCATTGAGCGTCCGACCAACTTTCATTGCTCAGCCTTTGTTGCTCGGCCTAGGCATTGGGTGTCTGACCAACTTCTGCTGCTCGGCCCAGTCGTTGGGTGTCCGACCAACTTTTGTTGCTCGGCCCAAGCGTTGGGCGTCTGACCAACTTCTACTGCTTAGCCCAGGCATTGGACGTCCGATCAACTTTTGTTGTTTGGCCCAAGCGTCGGGCGTCCAACCAACTTCTATTGCTCGGCCCAGGCATTGGGCGTCCAACCAACTTTTGTTGCTCGGTCCACTTCAAAGTGAGCATTAGGTGTCCGGCTAACTTTCGTTGCTCGGCCCACTTCGGAATGGGTGTTGGGCATCCAATTAACATCCATTGCTCGGCGCACGTAAGAGTAGGCATTGGGTATCCAACCAACCGTTGTTGCTCGGTTGAAGCGTTGGGTGTCTGACCAACTTCTATTGCTCGGTCTACTTCAGAGTGAGCATTGGGCGTCCAATTAACTTCTGTTGCTCGGCCCAAGCTTTAGGGGTCTAACTAACTTCTATTGCTCGGCCCAAGCGTTGGGCGTTTGACCAACTTTTGCTGCTTGGCCTACTTCGAAGTGGACGTTTGGAGTCCAACCAACCTCCATTGCTTAGCTCGCTTCAAAGTGGGCATTGGGCATCCAACCAACCTCTATTGTTCATCCCTCTTTGTAGCTCTTCCACTTCGTATCACCTTCGTTAGGCTAAGGTCCTTTTGTAATGAAACTTTAAGTTAATAAAGTATCTTCGAAATTTGCCAAGTGTTGGACTTGTAACTCGAACTTTCAATTTCTTCATGTTTATGTTGTTTGCCCCCAGCCGAGCAACAAGGATGTAGCCCTACATTGTTCGTTGTTTGACTAGACTTCGCCTTATGCCTTTGAAAAGTTAAGTTGCTCTTCCAGTCGAGCAATAATAGGGAAACCTTGCAATATTTCCCGTTTGGCCTTAATTGAATTAGTTGTCTTGCCCTCAATCGATCATCATTGTTCGGCCGTTACTTGACTCGGTTACACCTCTGTTTATCCCACTTTGGAGTGGAGAGCAAGCTTTGACCTAGCTTCTATTCAGACTTCATTGTAGAGGGCTCGGTTTAACCTAGCTCTTGTTCGGTCCACTTCGGAGTGGCATTTGTTCGGCACACTTTGGAGTAGACGGCTAGGTTGAACCTATCTTCTTTTTGGCTTACGTTGGGTGGCCTCTATTCAACCCACCTCTTAGTGAAGGACTAGCTTCGATCTAACTTCTGTTTGGCACACTTCAGAGTGGCTTTCGTTCGTCGCACTTCGGGGTGGACAGTTAGGTTTAACCTAGCTTCTATTCGGCTTATATTAGAGTGGCCTTTGTTCGGCCCACATCGAACTGGTCAACTAGGATCAACCTAGACCTTTGTTAGGCCCACACTAAGGTGGTCGGCTGGGATCGGTCCAGACCTTTGTTAGGCCCACGTCAAGGTGGTCGACTGGGATCAGCCCAGACCTTTATTAGGCCCACGTCAAGGTGGTCGACTGGGATCAGCCCAGACCTTTATTAGGCCCACGTCAAGGTGGTCGACTGGGATCAGCCCAGACCTTTATTAGGCCCACGTCAAGGTGGTCGACTGGGATCAGCCCAGACCTTTATTAGGCCCACGTCAAGGTGGTCGACTGGGATCAGCCCAGACCTTTATTAGGCCCACGTCAAGGTGGTCGACTGGGATCAACCCAGACCTTTGTTAGGTCCACACTAAGGGGGTTGGCTGGGATCGGCCTAGACCTTTGTTAGGCCCACATCAATGTAGTCGACTGGGATTAACCCAAACTTATGTTTTGGTTGTACCATACCCTTGTTTGTTGTTTTCTCCATCAATGGAGTCTTTCCTTCCAATAAATGAAACAACTCAATTGCGAGGATATGGTAGAGCTTCACCACATCTAAACTTTGTTTCGTCAATACAGATCTCATATTTCAGAAGACTCAGGAGCATCTATCCTTTGTCATTCGTCTTCTCCATCATTGGAGTTCTTCCGTCTAGTCGGTGGGACAACTGAATAGTATTGATACAAATCTAGTATTTTGACACTATTAGGATTATTGGTTCTTTATCATTCGTCTTCTCCAATTGGAGTCCTTCCGTCTAGATGATGAGACGAGTCAGTAACAATGATGCAGTGGTGTTCCATCGTATTTGGACTTTGTTCTTCGATGCAGATCTGGTCCTCCAACACTTTCATAAAATATAGTCCTTCATCGATCATCATCTCTTTCATCGGAGTCCTTTAGAATGAGGCATTAGAACGACTAAACAATAGTACAGTGGTGTACGTCGTGTCTAGACTTCATCTGTCGGTGCAGATCTGGCCTCTCTATATCCATTAGTGCAGATCTAGTTTTCCGGCACTCTTCGAAGTGTTAATTTGTTATCCTTTGTCTTCTCTGTCAACAAAGTCCTTTTCCACAGTGGCAACAAAGGTATTTACAAATTTATTATATATCATACATATGAATGTTTATATATTTTGTAACTTAAAACATCAAGATATCTTGTATGTTACAATTACATTCTAAAGAATGCAAAACAATTATAGAAATTGTAATACACATGTTATATGCATCTTATAAATATTTCAAAATATATTTAGAAGAACGCATAAATTGTGTTATGAAGAATGCAGAACATTGTTAATAAAAAAAAGTTATCACTTATGACATGTTCAGAGGGTTTAAGAAGTATCGCTGAAGTATCGTGATCACCATACGCTTCCTCCGCTGAAGTGTTTGTTCTTTTTAGATTATAAATGCACTGTCTTTTGATTCCAAAACTCATGATGAATTGGCACTTCGAAAATGTATCCTTTAATTCTTTTGCAGGATGGAAGAATTAACTACGATGAGTTTGTTGCCATGATGAGGAAAGACAATCCGGAGGTGGTCTTAAACAGACGTCGCAGATAAGTTTTTTCAACGTTACATTGACATGTGTTTTTCTAGCTTGAGGACATGATTTGTTGGCCTAACCGGGGCGTGTTGCAATTGGGATTGAAAAATGTTCTCAGTTTGGCTACCTGGAATCACAGCGACAGTTCTTGTTTTCTAGATTGGTTTGTGGTTTGTCTATACCTGCCTTTACACACAAAAATGAGTTAGATTGTCATCATTTTGCTACATAATTATACTACCAGAATGTGTGATTATTTACTCTCTACGTGTTTCCAAATTAAGCACAAGGGCATTTGTCATTTACAGATTGGATTTTATTCTCTCTCTCTAAGTTATGAGCTTCCTTAACTTCTACCTTTTTTTTCTTTTATTTATATATTTTTTGAGAACTGTCTACCTTGTTTTACAATGCAAAGGACCACGAACAATTTGCGTGACTCATGCACCATATTAGAAAAACTATTCAAGTCCAACACATAATCCAATTTATGTGCACTTAGAATTTTTCAAAATTATTTAATGTTTTGAGACCAGTCATTGGGAATGTTATTTAGAGTTTTAATCTAGTTTTATTCCGAACTTAGAGCTTGAGAAAAGTATTGGTTGTAACCGTGTCACAATCAACCAAATGAGTTGAATGAGATTGAACTTAAGATGTTCTTGTAATCAAATTATGCATAATGCATTTACATCCATATATTGACTCAAATTAAAATTTTGGTAAAAAAATATTCAAAATTTATTTAAACTTTTTGTTTCATACTTATATCAAATTGAGTTTTATTCATTTTTTACTCAAATGAAAAAAGATTTAATTTAAATATTGAATCAAACATCCAACATTTTGGTAAATAACATCATTAAAATATGATGAGATATATATATATTTTTTAAAAAACCTGAATAAAAATTAAAGACGGTTTGATTTTGAGATTTTAAAAATGATTTTTAATTTTTTTTGTTTTTAGTGAAATTTTTAAATATTTAAAAAAAAATATTTCTTAACATACATGGACTTAAAAAATAAAATATTTGTAAAGAAATATTAAAAAAATTGTATTTAGTGATTTTTTAAAATTATGTTCATATTTTTTTAATACTTTTTAGGTATATTTAAATTAAATAAGTAAAAAAAAATACTTAAAATAATTCAAAAAGCCCACTAAATTACGTAATAGGGCAACAATCAATTTCCAAACAGAATAAAAGTTTACCATTAAAATTTTTATTGAAATATTTACTTAAATCAGTGTATAAAAACTTCAATCATGATTGGAGGATATAATTTACATGTATTATAGAACTTTTTTTAAAAAAATCAAATTATTTTAACTTAATTTGTCATTTTTGTTAATATTAAAACTCATTTGAAATTGACTTGAATAATAAACAAACTAAAATTTTAATATATTTTTTAAGTTCATTAAGTTTTAATTGTTCAGAAAATTTTAAATAAATTATATTATATTTTATTTCAATTTTTTTTATTTGTAGTGATTTTTTTATTTAAAATTATGTCAATTTTTTATTTTTTTAGTGTACCTTGACTAGATGAATCTAAAGGTAAAATTATTATTTTTTTAGATCAAGACTAAACTGATAAAGCTTCCACCATAATATCACAATCAACTAAAAATTATAATAATAATATACGTAAATACAAAAAATAAAATAAAATAAAAATAAAAATTTAGAACACTTTGCTATTGATAGCTTTGAGAGCATTTCCAATTTGCTTGACATTTCTGGTCAACATCTTCACGTTAGCAAAGAACCCTTCTTGCTTGTACGGCATCAACAACCGCCTCCTCCGATCTCTCTCCTGCGCCACCGTCACTCCTCCTCCGGCCTCTGGCTGCTTCACTCTTCCGGAGACGCAGTAGGTTCCTGCCGGAACTCCATCGAGCTTATCTCTGCCAAAAATGGGGTAAACAGGAATGATCTTATCGGCAGGGGTGGGGAACTCAAAAGCATCATCTTCATCTTCATCTTCGTAGCTCTTCCTTTCTTCTTCTTCTTGGACCCCTGGCATCTGATCAGTCTCAGTTTCGTGCGTTTTACCTCTAAGCTGCTCTTCCAAATTACTGTTCCGGTTCCGTAGAGAGTCCACCTGCTCTTCCAATTCTCTGACCCTGTTCTGTGCACCTTGAAACGCGTTCATAATTTCATATGCACGGCTCTCGAAGTAGCCGTAGTCTTTCTCAATCGCGCTGAGATTCTCCATCAGCAACTTCACTTCATCTCCTTTCTGGGTACGCAGAGAATCCAGCTCAAGTTCTAAACCCCTCATTCGAGCTGATGTTTCACTCTTACCGAGAAAATTTTGAGGGTTTTTTAATAATGGATCATGGTGGTTGTTGAGAAAAAAAAACTTGTTGATCCATTGTAATTCTTGGGAAAAAAGACTGAAGGAAGACAAAGATGTAGAGATTGTGAGAGGGAGTGCCTTTTATCGTGAAAGGTAGTTCATTTTTTTCCATATTCTTGAAAGGTAGGTTCTTTTTTCCATATAAAATTGGGATATCAAATGTAAAGTATTGACATTTCCAGTCCAACTTCATTTCCTTAACTCTCTCTCTCTCTCTCTCTGTGAGTGTGTATGTATGTGTGTGTGTGGGGGAGATGAAATTCATGATCAACATTTCTTAAATTGCAAAGTAAGCTGAGTAGCTAACATTTTTTTGGAGGTAATGGGAGATGAAAATTTCCTTGTAGTCATCCTATTGTGTTATTGTGTTGAAAATAAATTAAAATAAAATTGCTGATTTGCATTGATAGTGGAGTCAGATAAGGTAGGATTTCCATTTCAACTTTCATTTCCTTAACACTCTCTCTCTCTCTCTGAGTGTGTGTGTGTACGTGTGTGTGTGTGTGGGAGATGAAATGTTTCATGATCAACATTTCTTAAATTGCAGAGTAAGCTGAGTAGCTAACATTTTTTTGGAGGTAATGGGAGATGAAAATTTCCTTGTAGTCATCCTATTGTGTTATTGTGTTGAAAATAAATTAAAATAAAATTGCTGATTTGCATTGATAGTGGAGTCAGATAAGGTAGGATTTCCATTTCAACTTTCATTTCCTTAACACTCTCTCTCTCTCTCTGAGTGTGTGTGTGTACGTGTGTGTGTGTGTGGGAGATGAAATGTTTCATGATCAACATTTCTTAAATTGCAGAGTAAGCTGAGTAGCTAACATTTTTTTGGAGGTAATGGGAGATGAAAATTTCCTTGTAGTCATCCTATTGTGTTATTGTGTTGAAAATAAATTAAAATAAAATTGCTGATTTGCATTGATAGTGGAGTCAGATAAGGTAGGATTTCCATTTCAACTTTCATTTCCTTAACACTCTCTCTCTCTCTCTGAGTGTGTGTGTGTACGTGTGTGTGTGTGTGGGAGATGAAATGTTTCATGATCAACATTTCTTAAATTGCAGAGTAAGCTGAGTAGCTAACATTTTTTTGGAGGTAATGGGAGATGAAAATTTCCTTGTAGTCATCCTATTGTGTTATTGTGTTGAAAATAAATTAAAATAAAATTGCTGATTTGCATTGATAGTGGAGTCAGATAAGGTAGGATTTCCATTTCAACTTTCATTTCCTTAACACTCTCTCTCTCTCTCTGAGTGTGTGTGTGTACGTGTGTGTGTGTGTGGGAGATGAAATGTTTCATGATCAACATTTCTTAAATTGCAGAGTAAGCTGAGTAGCTAACATTTTTTTGGAGGTAATGGGAGATGAAAATTTCCTTGTAGTCATCCTATTGTGTTATTGTGTTGAAAATAAATTAAAATAAAATTGCTGATTTGCATTGATAGTGGAGTCAGATAAGGTAGGATTTCCATTTCAACTTTCATTTCCTTAACACTCTCTCTCTCTCTCTGAGTGTGTGTGTGTACGTGTGTGTGTGTGTGGGAGATGAAATGTTTCATGATCAACATTTCTTAAATTGCAGAGTAAGCTGAGTAGCTAACATTTTTTTGGAGGTAATGGGAGATGAAAATTTCCTTGTAGTCATCCTATTGTGTTATTGTGTTGAAAATAAATTAAAATAAAATTGCTGATTTGCATTGATAGTGGAGTCAGATAAGGTAGGATTTCTATTTCAACTTTCATTTCCTAACTCTCTCTCTCTCTCTCTCTCTCTCTCTCTCTCTGTGAGAGTGTGTGTGTGTAATATTGCACTCTGGCCCTTGCATTTTTTATAATTTCACTAAAGTCCTTTCACTATCAATTGTGACAATTAATTTCTTTAATAGTATATAAAAATATGCTATCAATCAGTGCTTTGATGTCATATGTATTGTACTACTAGTCAAAAGACTTGTTTTGGGCATAAGTGTGACAAGGAGACAATGATATTAGTAATATGCACACATTAGCCAGTTATTCATGAAAGTCACTGCTCTGACATTGTTTTAGAATGTATTTTTGAATGTTGGCCGGTTGTAAATGTCAGATTCAAAAATTGACTCTGAGAAGTGATCAGTAAGTTTGTAAATATTTTTTTCAAACAGTAAAATTCAATCGATGGGTCATAATGGTCCTGTTTGGTTCAGCTTCTTGTAAGTTAAAATCTAATAATAAAAAACAAAAGTTAAAATTGCATCTTCCTCAGCATTCCGGTAATTAGTATTTTAAGCTATTTTTTTTTATAAGCTATAATTGGAAGCAACACTAAACACTCTGGCACGCAATTCCAAAATAAAAGAAGCTATCGGCAGAGCTTTATACACTGCATTGAACAAGGCCAATAAAGTGCGTATGTGCGTAACGTGTTCTACCCTTCAAGTGTATGTATATGTATGTGTATATGTGAATGCTAACTATATCGTAGTGTGATCCTTCTTAGTAATGTAGAATGATATCTCTGTACTTTTGTAGTTTTGATCAAATTGTTTAGTTTGGTCAGTTATTGTTCACTGTCGAGGGTTTTTTTCTTTGTTATTTTTCAGAAAGCTTTGGTTTGATTGACTTTTAGTGGTCCATTTGTATCAAAGGATGGATTTGATGTCTGGGTACAAGGAATTTTCTCTCATTAGTCTGGGTACGAGGTATTTTCTCTCATTAGCTTGCTATTCAGTAGTGTTTACTGTCATCTTTCAATATGGATTTTGTCACAGTTAGTTTTTCAATTGATAACTTCTCATTATTGTGTATTTGGTTTATAATATACATGTCTTGGAATCAATTTTCAGATGTGTTGTTATGTTAAGTGCCATTTTACTAATCTTATGCTTACACGTGATTAATTTACCGAATCATGTACAAGGGGTTGTTGGGCTTGTCTTTGGAAATGAGAATTCTGCCTCAAGTAAAGATAGGTAAATTGTTGATTTATGTTCATAATACCTATTGCTATAGTGGTGGATTTTGTTTTGTTGATGACTCAAAATATTTATGCAATGCACACCACATAATGCATTGGCTGGAATTCAATTAACAGTAAAGCCATGTAGTAAAAGATTTGTTTAATTTCATAAAATTTGATATGTCACCTGTTGGTGGTATTGGTCCATCCTCCCAACCTCAACTAAAGACTCAGTGATGAAGCAGTGAATCTCTCACCTGTGGTTTAATTATTTTTCATCATCAACTTGATTCGTTTTGGAGTTTTACATATGGTTATTATGTGTTGATCAAGAGAAAAAGATTCCTGAGGTACACAGGTTTTCATTTTATGATTGGTGTCCCAACTAAGGTTGTTATGAGATATTCGTGGATGTATCTTGATCTGATTTGATGAATATGTTCAAGTTGATACCAAAATTTGGTGCATCTTCTATGTGACTTCATTTATAATTCAATACTCGGAAAGGTCCATTTCTGTCCAACTTATTGTTGTAGTTTTATTGTGTTTAGTGCTAAGATGGTGGCAATAGAACAAAATATAATAGGATGTCTGGATTACGCGTCTTAATTTTTCTCCTGCCTTTTCAGGTGCTGAAAACATTTCCTAGTGCAACGAAATACTTGAAAAGTAAGTTGTATTTGATACAATATTCAGTTTGCATTTGCATGCGGCATTAAGAAATAATACTGTATTCATTTTTTGATATAGCAATTGTGAGCTTTGGCAAGGTTACTCCTCAACAAAAAGAAGAAGTTGAAAAGTTTGGTTTGGCTATATATGCTTGGGATGAATTTTTGTTATTGGTAAGCTACTTCTGTTAATCCATTATTCATTTCATATCTGGTTGTTTTGTTAATAATTTTTTGGTTTTGAATAATGCCCATTATTGTACCACGTGAAATTTGTTTCAAGAAACTAGCAGTTTTATGATTTAAATGGAATTTGATTGGTGTATAATTTGTTGAATTCAAAGCAGGGATGCTGGATGGCGTACTGCACATTTTGTATTACAAAAATCATTGTATTGTGCCACTTTATTGCATTTTATGGATCCTTATTTATCTAATAATAAAGTGGTTTGAGGATAACTTAGATGATATGCTGGAGTTGACAGCTGGCACAAGAGGTCACTGGCATTGGTGTGTTTCCATATTGCAGGCAGGCAGTCGTATTGGTTCAGGGTTATGATATAAGGTCAAAAGTCAAAATATGTTTCACTTTAAGATCCAGTTATTTCCATCGTGTTACTTCTATTACATTTGGTTATAGGATAGGTTGAGTACTATTGACTAAATCTGATGGTGCTCTGAAGTAAATTGTGGTTAAATCTGAGGCATTTTGCACTTGAAATGATGTGTGCTATATATACGTTGTCTCTAGTACTGAATGTTAATTTAAAATATTATGTGGTGCATCCCTAAAATAAATCTGTTCTTGAATTGGAAATTTTTTATAAATCACCAATTGATCTGATACCATTTCCCCAAGGGGGGCTAAGTATGGATGATACTTCCATTGACTATTTATTACTCGATTTGAATTTCACCCTATCGGTTTTGCAGGGAGATGATAAACAGTATGATCCTCCAGTAAAAAAGAAAAGTGACATTTGTACAATAATGTATACTAGTGGCACTACTGGTGACCCAAAGGGCGTTCTGATTTCCAATAATAGCATTGTTACTCTTATAGCTGGGGTGAGGTGCCTGCTAGGGAGCGTTCATGAATTGGTAAGCATGTGAATCAATTTACATTCATAAATCTACATGGCAGGCTATTTATTTGATTTAATCTAAATTATTCTGCTTTATTTAGGATTTCTTGCACATCCATTTGAAAATTTTACAGTTGACTGAAAAGGATGTATATCTTTCATATCTTCCTCTGGCACATTTCTTTGATCAAGTGATTGAAGAGTGTTTTATCAATATTGGCAGCTCA